GTGCGGCAGGGTGTTGAAAAATTGCCAGCACCTCTAGTCCCCGGCACCCCCCCTTTTACACCCTGCCAGCCTCACACTTGTGTCACGATCACTTTTCAGTCGCAGCCATAGCCACACATCCATTGTTGCATCTTGGCCGCGGCTGATCTCACAGAGATTGCGCCTGCGCGGCACTTTTTGGGCTGGTCATCGCGACATCATCGCGCCCAGGCAGAGAATTGATGAACGCCCCAGAGTCCCGGTTCCTGGCTCCACTCGAAGAAAATCTTCTGAGACTACTCATTAATCCAAATGTATTTCTCACAAAATAAGATGCTTCGATTTATTTTAGATATTATTTATTAATTTCGAAATTCTCAGATATAAATACCTTACTAACATTTAATTATTATTTATGATAGAATCTCAAGATGATAAAAGTTAGATAATTTTGCATATTCTTATCCCTTTTAATAAATCCATAGACTATAATTAAGAAAACTCAATGCTTACAATAATTTTCAATGTGGGCAAGCTGATGCTTATATACCCTTACAGCTATTGCAAATATAAAACTTTGTTTTTAAACGAGCTGTGCCAATTTTCCGCTGAATTAAAATTTTAAGATATGGTAGCTGTAAGATATCGTTGACCGGCTTAAATTAAATGAAAACCATTATTTTGAAACAATAATCCATTACTATAAATCGAAGTTTATTTTAATAAAATGAAAAGCAGTAAAGATTTAATGTTTGTTTCATTTATTTTTCACTTTTGCAATTGTTCCGTTGAGAACAATATGATATAATCATTCGATTTTAATAAAATTTAAATTGTGTTGTTCAATTTAATAATCATAATAATAATTATTTAAAAATTTATTGGATAAGAGTCAGCACTATGAAATAAAAATGTTTTACCACATAAAACATCTGTATGTTATAAATCAGCATTGAAAGGAGAGTCAATATAATTAATTCCATAGAAGTAAAAACAAAAAGTAAAACTACTGTTTAATTTGCAATAATTTTTGTCGAGTGCAGGTTCTGCCCAAAGAGGAGACTCCATCTGCATGTGAGTGTTGCCCGGAGTTGAGTTGGGGGTCGGACTGCGTCTATTTAAGGCCAAGATTTGATTGTCAAGCGGAGATATGCCAATTTCTCAGTCCGTTCCTGGCAGCTCACAGCTTGTCGGACATTGTTCTGGCTATGAGTGTTGAGTGCTGAATCTTGAATGCCGTATGCCGAATGCCGAATGTTGCATGCGGCGGCGATCGGAGTCCCCTCGATTGATGCCGATTGCTGGTCAAGCGAAAGTGTCAATATAATTGGCCAAATTGATGCTGCTGCTGCTGTGGCTGCTGCTGCTGTTGCTGCTGATGCTGTTTGGAGTGCCTTTGGGGCCCAAATTAGGCAGAGCCTTCCAAGAACATTCCCCAAAGCTCGCCACGAAGTTCTCCGCACCGGCAGACACATTTCAATCAGTTTTCATTTGAGCGGCGAAAAGCGATAAATAAATGACAAAAACCATTTCATAAGAGAGTGAATGCCGTGCCGCTGACAGTCGCATCTGCTGGCGAACACTTGCAACTGCACTACCAACATCAACATCAACAGAAGCAGCAACATCAACAGCAAAAGCAACAGCAACTTCCTCAATGCAACTACTGCAACTTGCATAGATGGAAACAAACTTGTGACTCGTTTGCATGCCGCCGCGCGACTTTCACATTGTGACGTATTTATGGATATCATGTGCCACAATTTCTGCACTCGCGGATTCATCTTTGTCCCACACTCGGCAATAGAACCGAGCAGCATTTCCTTTTCGATCCGACAGCCCAGAGAAATCCAGTTAGTTATGTGCGATCCCCCCGTTGGCGACTGAAGCCGAAGCCTTCTCCCCGATATATTTGCATATCCATATTTGTTGCACTCGCTTATTGATGGATGCATTCGATGGGCAATTATTTCGGTTCGACTCTGGAGAAATCTCTGCCTGCTTACCTTTTAAAATTGCACGATGATGATAAGATTGGAATTCCAACATCAAGTTGGCTGACTTTTATCTTAATCAGCGGTAGTGAAAGATATGCTAACTATTTGGCTGCCTCAAATTGGAATCTCTAATAGCTGGCATTGCAGCATGTCAATGGAAAAAAAGTTTTACATACTCAAATAAAGAAACAAATTATTCGAAAATTTCGTTTAATCTTTAAAAAAGCTACATATAAATATGAAAGACAGTTTAAATTGTTTAATTAAAACTAATGGCTTATGCACTTCCGTTTAATGTGTAATGGGAGATAAGGCAATAAAATATATAAAAATATAAAAAAGATTAAGCGTATCTCTTATCTCAGTGACTTGTAAATTCCCATAAAAAAGTGCCTGAAATGACTTTGTTTGGACAGACTCTGAGAAACACAGCCATCGTTTCGCAATGGCCTCGAGATAAATTAATTAATCAATTATGGAAAACACAGCCGCATCAAAGCAATCCTATCCTCCTCATGCAGCCAACGTCCATCGATGACGACGATGATTCCTTGGAAATGGGCAGCGTTTTTATGCGCCAGCCATCCCGTGTGTAATGCTCGTTAAAGTTTTATTGACTGCCGCTCCCGATGGGATATGCACCGCGATCCCCCCCACCTGCATATCTCCCAATTATTGAAGTATGAAAAATGCAAAATCAGTAAGCCAAACAAAAGGCAAACGCAGCTGGAAACGCTGATAAAATGTCGCCGCTTTGCATTTGAGTGCGGCTAATTAATTTTGATCCGCCAGGTGGGCAGCCACCCAAGAGTTTTGCATCTATTCGAGCTCTGAGTCACTGATTTCAAAGGCACGGTAAGAAATGAGAATTATGAGAATATTCATAATTAAAAGTCTTATTAATATGTTATTTTTCCAAAAATATATGATTCGTTAGAGAGTTTATAATATATGTTTTTATTACTAAACATTTAAAGGTCACAAGAAAAACTTGAAACTTGATGTTGACTATATTATAAATACAAATATTTAGTAAAACGTAATCTAGCAAAGTTAATTACCACCTATTTCAAAAATATAATAATTAATATTTGTTTGTTTCTCATAAATCATTATTAACGATAAATCATTAAGAGAAAATATTTTAAGAGTATATAAGTACCGAAAATATTCGCTTAGCAGTGAACTCTTTCACAAGAAAAACTTTAAGTTAGCTAAGCTTATTAATAGAATGTTATAGCCAATATATTAATAGTAAAAAGCTTTTCTAAAATAATCAAAAATTACTAAAACACTGAACCCGGCTCAGTTCAGGTGAATTTTTTCTTAGGTGTATCCACCAAGCCCTGCACTTTCTGGCCAAATAGTCAGTGCGCTTTTATTTGCCCCACGGATTGGCTTGAGTTATGGCCAATTGTCATTCCGGCAACACATTTGCCATTCGATGACCTGTCACAGCCCCTCTCGTCCTACTTTTTTTCCCCCAAGGACAGCACGAAAGTCTTCCCCCGGTTTGCATGTCTTTCTCAAATTTTTGTGCAATTTTTCTCGTGATTTCGTTTTTTTTTGGCTTTATTGCGGCTAATGCTTGTCCATCGGAGTGGCTTTGGCTGGTCAGTCCCTGGCGTATATTATTTCGGCATAAATCAAAACTTTCACTTAGCACGCTCATTTGTTTCAATGACCGCTCCCCCTCCCCGCCCCTATTGACCGCACACGAATAGTGATAAAAATCTATTACAAGCTCATATCATATTTTATTTCCGCTCTCGCGCAGTTGGAGGGAAATTATGAAAAAGCTTTTTTATGGTCCGCTCGCTTTTTACGATGATGTGACGAGCGGAAAAGGACAGAGTCCTTTTCTGGACATTGTCCTCGACCAAGTGACATATTAAGTTTAATGGAAATTGATGAGCGCTTATTATGATATGAGATAGCCAGCTCCTTTGTCCTGCCCTCGCTTCCTTTTCCCGTCTTTTGCGACTTCGGGGTTGGTTGGATGGATGGATTTTGGGTCCGGGCTTTAGTATCTTTTTTATCATAAAAGCCATTTCTGCTGATGGTCGCACTAAATTCATTGATTCAATTTCCGCGCTGGCTTTGCCTGTGCTTTGTGGCCCCCGAGCACAGAGACAGCTCCAATAAATATGGATATAATATTTCAATATTTGTGCAACTTTCTTCGGAGCCCAGCCAACGTAAATCACGATTTGTCCAAATACTTTTGTGTCTGCTGGCTTGATTTCACAGCAAGTTTTTGGCAAAAGCAATGGAAACAAAATAGAGGAAAATACTTTGAGATAAGTTGGGAGAATTTATTCACGTTAAATATGTTTCATACTTTGTTTTGGTCTACATTCTTGATAGTATTTAGTTTCCAGAAAATTGTTTCATTCTCTACTGATCTAGGAAATTTTATTTACACTAGTTTAAACACTCAAATTAACCATTTAATACTGGACTCTATGATTAGGAAAATTACAATCACCTTTTATTTCTATGGTACCTTTTTTTGTAAAGTGTAAATAAAAAAAACAAATATGGTTCTAAATTAATAGAAATAATTAAAAAAAATAATAAAATAAAAATAATTTTTATGCTATAATTTTGCATTTTATATTTTATATTTCTATCTCTGGTAAGCCGATTTTGGTTATCAATGAATCGTTTTACTTATAGTAAAATGTTTCTTAACATTTCCATATATTTATGTGAGGAATTTATTAACCTTTCGGGTTTTAGGTAAGGAAAAGAAGACACATTTTGATATTCATGGGTGTTCTTTCAGCTAACTTGCCGTTTAATTACCCAGATGCCAGCACACTTGTCTTAAAGCTCCGTACATTCGATATGTGAGTATGGTCGAAACGCTCGCAGTCGGGATCCAGTAACATTCCCACTCTTTTTGTTCCTCGCCTTCCTGCTTCCCCTGCTTTCCCTGCCCCCCCCGCCCCGACATTATGGCCATTGTGCGAGGTCATAAATACTCACGAGCCCTGACAGTCGTCATAAAAGTGCGCATGATTCATATGCCAGACTCCCCGGCCGTTTAACGACACTTTAATAATTCTCTAATTGCAAAAAATACGGCGAAATGTTGCACTGGGCCCGATTTTCCCGATCTGGCCAGGGTTTTAATGGCCGGCGAGTGCCTTTTAATTGGGTGGCGCCCAATGCCATAAAGCAGCACGAGGGGATCGGGTTCAATTCGCCCCGGGATCGCTTGGCCTGGCCGGGTTGTGTTGGGTTGGGTTCCTGAAATGTGCTGGTGATGTTCTGGGCTGGTTTCACAGGCCCGCCGGCCTCTTCTCCACCTGCAGAGAATGGTTATTCATAAGTTTTTGCTGCATAATTTAAAGCGGCACTAAAACAAACATCACAAAAATCTTCACGATTTCGTCAGACCCGAGTAAAAAATTGGAAGTGAAAAAGATAAATTGGTATACCCTTTCATATCATTTTTTTTTAAGGGGTAGTGCTACACAGGAAAAAACGAAAACGGTTTTAGGAACACAAAAAGGGTTGAAACATTTTAAAAAGTAAATCGCTTCATACCACTTTATTAATTTTTAGTGCTACCAAAAAGCTTTGTTTTACTTTTTAAAATGTTTAACACCTTAAACGTCGAGTTTTAAAGCTTTTACTTCCTCTATGTTCAAACGGTTGAATATATAATTTTATAAGTGTTATTAAACACCTATAATTATTGGCCTCAAAAACATGTTTTGTTTTGATCGTAAAATGTTATGGTTTTTAAAAGGTGTTTGATAAAAACTTTAACTAGCTTAAGGTAATACATTTCAAACAAAAAAGTAAAATTCTCAACTACAAACTCAATGGCTGAAGAGTTATACCCTCCGGAAAGACCCAAAAGTAAACAGGGAATTGAATTTCACTCCCAGTTAAGGTGAAAGCAAAGGAATTCGAAGAAAAAATGCCAAGTTGAGTTAACGTCATAATTTTCTGGGCATTTGAACTTGGTCTTTGGCTCGGTTTCCCTCTTTTCGCGTGGGTTGCCTTCTTCCAACCCCATTCGTGTAATAAGTTTCCACTCCGTCGCCAAATTTGATTACACAGCCGTCCCTCAACCTTCTTCCCGATGTTGACATATCGGATTACGCACTAATTATCCTTCTAATTAACCCTTCTGTCTTAATGTTCTTTTTTGGTCTCACCTTCGAGGCGGCTTCGACTTGTTTTCCACTTGCCTAGGGGATTTCTCGACCGGCTCGTCTTCCGTTTCTATGTATATCCATGTCTGTTTCCCTTCTGGCCTCGACTGTTGCTCAAGCATGACCCTCTTCATGCTGCCCTGCCAATTGGCCTTCCGCCGTTTTTAAGCCTATTAGACAAAACTCTCATAATTACTTTGTTACTTTGCCACTGGCAGTCGGCATTTAGCTCTTTGCCCGGAGCTTAAGCCGTTTTCGCCTGCCGCCTGTCACCAGTTTTCAGACTAAACATATCGATATCAATCCGGGAATCGACAGGTCTGACTGGTACCAATTGGCTACTGGAATCTGAGTTTATTCAAGCGTACGCGTAAAATAAATAAATACTAAGGATTAGTCACAATAAGGGATAACAAAAATAAAGTTCATTGGTTTTAAATATAATAGAAGCGGAAAATAAGTTGTCCTTAAAGATAAGTCAATAAACATCAAACAGTTTTATATTATTTGATTTTATGCGGAATTATAAAATATAAATTAATTTAATTAAAAGGAATTAGCACCCAAAATATAGTAAGAACACAATTAAAACTTAAAAACCTCGTTTTAAGAGTTTGAACTTTTTATTAAAAGAGTGTAGATTCTTAAAAATCGATTGCTTACATTTTTCATTCTTGGTAGTTAAGGAAATTTAAAAAAGATGAAACCATTATTGTGCATTGAAGTTTGTTTTCATTTTATGCATTCAAATAGTTCTTATTTATTATTATCTTTGCATAATTGTGAGTCCTGTGCTGTTCGTAATCAGGAATATGTCTTTATGGACACACACAAGTCCCGAAACACAAGTGTACACACTCGAAAGTCAAATCATCGAAAGGAGGGTTTTGGAGGGAGGCAATTTAAATATTGATTGTTATATCAATGCGTCCATATCGAAATTTGCATATCGCCAGCCCCACAACTGCATGTTTTAGGGGCCGATTGCAAATGTCACCAAATTATCCCCGAAATGGATCAATTCGATGGGCGGTTCAGTGGGTATGGAGCTTGCTATCCCAGGAATTAATCCTTTGTGATGTTTGTCATTAAATGCATGTTTACCTGGGCTCAGTTTCCAACCTCATTTCTTGGCTATAGCTGGTAAATAATATTCCTCGCCCCTATTTGTGGGCGTGGAACATTATTATAGTGTGTCTGCTCACAAAGACCATAATGAAGCAATCAGCAGCAACAGTCCAAACAATTGCATCCATTCCAATTGCAGTTGCAATTGTGGCACAAGTGCGAAATTACTCTAGCACTCTCATTTATGAGTGATTTTGCCCCTTTTCCCAACTCGAATTAAATACATTTGGATTAGAATTTCAAGCCCAAATGAAATAAATACAATATGGATATGCATATTTACTCTCGATTTGTATTTGCTGGCAATAAAAATAACAGAATTGAAACTCGAGACATATTCCATTGCTCGGAAAGGATTTCGGGCAGGTCAATGAGTTTGCTGAATCGGAAAACATATTATCTTTGAAGATAAAAAATGTTTATTAAAGGTATTTTAACTTTGACGCAGACCAATCTTTGCAACAAAAATGTCTTTATTTATAAATATTATACAGTATAAATAAGAGAATGTATGCAGTTAGTTTCAAATAGTTCAACTAGTTGTCAATCTGCCCTAGTTGTCAATCTTTCAGTCAAGACAAAATATTATATTATTATGTGTATGTGAAGATGTCGTGTACGTAAATAAACCTTCAACAGTTGCATGTGTTTTGTTTGAGCATTGTGAATTGTGTTTGAGAGCAAATATTTGTGCAGCCCAGGACTACAAGAAGCCAAGATGTTTGATGCCCTGGCAATGAGTGGAGCATCCTTATAGATCCCAAACCCCCCGAATCGCACAGTCACAGAGTTGTAGGCCAAGTGCAAACAGCAGTCTGCCACCTTTCCTGCCCCCGTGTGGTGGAAACTTTAGATGTTGACCGTTGTTTGCAGTTGACGTTGATTAAACAGACACAAGAACGGTGGTGGTGGTGGTTGGGGGAACCACCCAAATACCCCCTCACGAAACTGATATGCTGAAATCAAAGATGTTGATTTCCGTTGGGAATAATCGCCATACACGCCATAGTCGCCAACTTAACCCATTCGCTCGGCACAACTGCCAGTTGACCTCTGATAGTGACCACTGACTGGAGCTTCCTTTTGACCCTCCACTGCACTCGTCATATTCAATTACAGGGCTTTCAGCGTGCGACTTCCTGCTTGACTCGAACACAGTCCCGAACTCGCACTCGAACTCGCACAGAGTTGTGAAATTAATGTGCGCTCTGATTTACATCGACCGCACCCAAAAGGTCTTCCCAGTGGCTATGATATGTTAATTCACAATAACAACGCCAAACGGCTGAATACACCGCACAAAATAATTACAGAAGTTGATTTCGGTAGTCCTTATGCAGGAAGCTATAATATGATACATACGAAAAATATTACAACGAAAAAAACATTTTCTTTATTATATTTTAATTTTTCCAGAATATTAATTGAATATATCTTTAAATTGCATTTTTGATGCAGTTAAAAATATTTGAATAAAGCAATTAAAATCCTATTTATTAAATAACTAAATAACATTATTAGTTAGAGCTTTTATTTGTTAATTTTCATTTAAATTGCTTGATTCATTATTATTACACATTAAAAAAGAAGAAAGGTAATGCAATTTTTAAACGTTTCAGAATGAACAATGATTTTTGTATTTTAAAAATTCATTGAAATTTCCACAAAACAAAAACATCAATTTTCTGTGACTTATATTTATTTAACAATCTTGTCAAAACTATGTAACATTGATTTTTTAATGTAACTTTTATATATGCAATTGTTTGATTTTACGTTTATTTATAATACAATAGCTTCAAGTTTAATAAATGTATATATTGTATTTTTTTCCAGTACATCCATACAAATGCTCAAAAAGTGCAGACACACAACAGAAGCAGCGACAACAAAAGGCCAAGGGGGTTAACAATTGCATTCATATCCGCAGCGCAGCGCTGAAGAACATTCGCATATGGTAAACATATCTGACCGCTGACCAGGACAGGGCGTGGCCCGCCCCTCTCGACCGGATGCACCTGAAATCGATCGCCGTGGCGAGAATCGATCCCTCACCTTGCCCCCCAACCCAACGCAGCCCCTTCAATTATTGCATAATGAGCTGTTGCCGTTGACAGAGGCTTCACTCTCTTTGGACTGCATTTTCACACATTTCAATTTCATAATTGATATGTGGTCAATTTGCTTAAACGCCGGCTAACACACGAAGCCACAATTTGTCGAAATTCCCAGCGTTGTTGTGGTTATTAAAACGCAGAAAGTGAATCGAACTGGGTGCCTCCCCTCTGAAATTCGATATGGATGACACGCAAGAGCTTCGATGAAGAGAGATTTCGTCGGTCCTCGAAACGGGAAGTATCGCGTTTTGGTTTTAGCAACCAAAGGGTTAAGGTAAACACCATTACGAGTGATTTGTTTTGCTTTCTTGTTTGCAGAGCTTCTGCTGATATTCAATCTTTCACAGTTGATGAGGTACAGAATATACCAAACCATTCAAAGGATCATAATTGAACGGGAAATCTAAAAGCAAGATTGTTACAGTATTTAGATATGTTTGTAATATATATTTATTTTTCAAAGCTTTTATTTTTGGTCAGAAATGTTCACTTTCTTTTATTTTATATCTTAATGGCTTAAAAGTCGCTTTAATTTATTTTCGTATTTAGATAATTGTATGCCTTAAAAGCAAAATTCGGACCTCTAATATTTACGAGTTTAGTTTATTTTATGCAAATTGCCACCTGTTAACGGAGAACCACTTTCAGTTCACAATTGACGCATTTACCGATTGAGTTTATGGAATCACACACTTATTCACACAGTAAAATTCGCAAAATTATGACGACTATGGCAATGTCGACACTTCTTGTATATAAATATGTATATATCCATATATAATACGAAGAAATTATCATTTTGGCACGACGGCCAAGAAATGTGCAAATACCGACAGATGTCCCAGAAACCGCGAAATCGTGTGGTCTTATACCCAAAGAAAACGAGGATAAGATCTACGAGCCAAACAATTCGGTTTTGACGTTTATGATGAAATTTCTTAAATCAACTGTCATGTACGGCTGTCATATTGAATAATTTCGGTGGCTTTATGTCCCTGCCTCGCTGGTGGGAGGAGGTTGGTGTAAATGGCGGGGAATCGCCGCACTTGCTATGCATAATTTATGGCCACATTATGGCCAACTCTTCGCAGCGAGTGGACTCATTCTAATTAAGTGGCCCAGACCTCAGACCCCGTCTTGAGTCCGTTTCGAAGTAAAATCCAAACAGTCCGTTTGAGTGGACGGAAAGTACACTTCAAAAATCTATAAATATTGCTAGAATTTTGATTTTTATTAAAGTTGAACAATACCTAGAGTTATTGGCTTGTTTATTTCATCAAAATAAGCTACTTGTCGAGTAATATAACAATTCTATTCATTATCTCAGTGTCATGTTAAGGTTCTTGTTTACAAATTTTGAAAAAAGTAAACCTTAAGTCAAGTTGTGCAGTATTAAAACTTGACATGGCATTGAGAAATCATTACTAAGGAGTAGGAACTCTTAAAATTGTAATAAATGATAAGTTACTGACACTATTAAAATGGTTCCTTAAATTTGTGATAATTAGGAAGGTTAAGTTATTCCATTTTGAAGACTCTTTTCTTTTTAGTTTATTATTGACAACATTATTTATTTTTTTGTGGTGTATCCAGAGCTGAGTAGGAGGAGTAGTGACAAGGCCCAGCTGGGGGCATTTACGTGAGCTGGCCGAGCGGGGAAATTAAAATGCGCGCACACGCATTTAAAATGCGAGGCAGGCACAAAAATTTAATAATTTCGCTTTTTGCACAACATCATCAACACAGAAACGGCTGTCGATTGACGATTGCCCGATCTTTCGACCTGACCAGACCCCAGTTCCGAATCAGTCGGCCGTCTGCGCCGCGGCTTTATGATTTTATTATTCTCATTTTTAATGACAACGACGATGATGACCAATAAAGATATTAAAACGGCGCATGAAATGTGCCCCCGAAATGGTTTCATAAATGGCTCTGCGCACGCCTTCGCGAAGAGGTGTGGCATGGGGGCGGGGCAGGCGGGGGGTAGGGGGGAGAGGCCTGCTGGGGCTT